ATAAAATGATCCAGAAAATTCATTCGACAACTTAAGTGCGTAGGATAGTTTTTAGACAATGCAAACTCAAACAACAACACCTAAAAAGCACCAAAACAACATGGATAGATCACTACTGCAGGATAAAACGATAAATTCACTCATTTGCTTCATTTTGGCCCCCATCTCCACCTCTTCCTCCTCGTCCTCCACGACGTTCTCGACCCCTTCTTCCCCCCTCCGCCGCTGCTTCTTGGCGGGCTCGCTCAACGGCTGGTCGCGGATTTCTTTTGACCCGAGCCCCAACTGGGGTTACATATGGTGGTGGTGGTGGCTGAGTTGGACCGGTAGCCTGACGAATGATCGGGGGGTTCGGAGTTTGTTGTTGCGGGGTCTGATACATCGAACTTTGTTGCTGATGTTGGAATTGAGAGAACCCATGAGAGAAAGTGTCCCATTCCTGAGATCCTCCACGACTCGATGACCCTCCACCGGCATCCGCTGCAGGTGCCCACTGGTACTCGAACGGTTCAGGAAGCTCGGTTGCTTGAGTGGTACGCACCTCTTCGAACGTAGGCAAAGGCCTGCGTTTGCTCCTTCGTGGGGGCTCAACCGGGGGCACAATGGCTGCATCATCACGGAATGAGGGTCGTGCCGGGGCAGGAACGGGAGGATAGGCCACGACATCCCTCCTTTGCTCTCTGGTGCAACTCAGGAGGTTATTCATAAGTCGGGTCAACCAAGTAGTCTTCCGCTCATCCATGGTTGGAGCACTTTCGAGAGTGTACTTCGCGTGTTCCAAACCATCAACCTAAGGAAAGCACAAAATATATCAAATTAACTAAACCTTAAAATAAATATAATTTAGAATGAGGGAGATTAGGATGACTTACCAACGAACTCATCACAGCACCTTGCTTTGACACCCATCTCAGGGTGAACTTCCGATACCACTGCATGTACCCATCGTGGTAGCCCATCGGTCTCGTCTCCGGCATCCCTTGCACCACCCATTGGGATCGATTCTCCCAGATGTTGATGTAGAATCCATGCTTTAGCTGCCAGTTTGCAGTGTTTCGGAGGTCCATAGCATGTAGCTCCCTGAAACCTGCTGGCGGATCTTGTGGAATTGGTTGCTCAATTCGATATTGCCTCAGGGATCGATCGGGTAGGTGCCATTCCACAATGTGCCAGCAGATCAATGGCACCTTGCACAACCACGTCTCGTGATCCAGAGGGTGCCTAAGATGATGCAGCTCAACCACTTCACGTGGATATGGATCCCATATAACCTATATTCATTCAAAAATTCGGAATTAACGACCATTTACTTTGATAAAATTGAACTTGTTCAAATATGGACAAAACATGATTACCTGATTCCACCATGGTTTATCTAACTCAGAACGATAAAACAGTAACGAATGCTCAGGTTGATGGTCATTCGTATTTGCTCCTATCCACCTTGTAAGTAAAAGTACGGAATCAATTTAATTGAAATATCGCTAAGCATATAATAAATTAAATTGGTCTAAGTACGGAATAAATTCAATTTAAATCTAGTTAAGCATGTAATCAAAATTAAATTGGGCTGAGTACGGAATAAATTCAATTTAAATCTAGCTAATGTAATCAAATTTAAATTGGGCTAAGTACGGAATAAATTCAATTTAAATCTAGCTCAAGCATGTAATAAAATTTAAATTGGGCTAAGTACGAAATAAACTTACTTGACACCGTAGGGGAGATTTTGCGGAAGGTTGAGCTCATCATCGTTTCTCCGGTATGGACGTGGGTCGAGAGGTGCGAACATTGGAAGATGCTCCCATACCCACAGTTGAACGATGAACATCGCAGCACCAGCTTGCTTTGCCCCAACCTTCGAGCAAGTACACAGCTCCCGGTATACGCCCGCTAGCACGGCCGATCCCCAACTCTTCTCTCCAATTGCATCCCAGTCACCGGTGAGCAATGGCAACCATATGCCTTGAATCCACCGGTTGGACTTGTCGGGGAACAAAAATCCACCCACCAAACCGATGAGGTAGATGCGGGCGTAGCGCTCGACATATTCTTCCGGTGTCTCGTCATTGATTTCCACCTCTTGCTGGATGTGAGATACCAGCCACGGGACCGATACTTGCCCCGCATTCAATGGTGGATGCCCCCGTCCTTGATTTGGTGTGGTGGTCGGCATGTCGAAGCCCAAACGATCACGGATGAGCGGCCCCCAACCTCCTCCGGGTTTGGCCGTGGAACCAATGATGGCATCTCCAGATATAGGAAGCCCGGTGAGGATCGCCACGTATTTGAGGGTGATCGTCATTTCCCCCTCCGGAAGGTGGAATGTATGGGTTTCGGGACGCCATCGTTCCGCCATTGCCGTAAGCAGATCCTTGTCGATCTCGATCCGCAAGAAATGGCGCAACATTCCCAAACCGGTCATCGCTATATAGGGCTCCAACCTTGGATGCCAAGCGGGCAAGTTATTGGTCCCTTTATGAACCACGGGAACAAGAGATTCCTAAAAAAAAGAGGAAAAACATCAATTTATTAGATTAAATAAAGCAAAATAAAACATTAAAAAATAATAAAATAAAGCAAGTCAGTTCATCAAATTACCGGATTGTTATCCCAAATGGCACGGGAGCGATGAGCTTCTTGATCGGTTAAGAGACTCGCATCCCTTGGGCCATAATGGATATACAATCGAGGATCGTATATCTCGGCACCCATCTATAAAAAAGTAATGAAATCAGAGATTGTTTTGATAAAAAAAAATCAAATTGTTTCGATTAAAAAAAATCATAAACCAAAAACCTACACGAAGAGCCTCTTCGTCCATTATTGGCGGAAGCCGGACAGAGGTTCGACGGGTTTAGGTTTGTAAGGGACGGGAACTTAGCGGGACGGGGGCTTTAGGGTCAAACTCTAGTAATTCTTTCTGATGTGGAAGATCAGACTTAGCCGCAACCACAGAGCATACTTAGAACGAGACTAGAGCGGATAAATTGAGGGAGAAAGAAGTGAAATGTTTGTGGTGTGAGTTGAAAGTGAAAGGGGAAGGGTTATTTATAGTTGGGGGAAGGGGGGAAGGGATCTGCCGAGAATTGAATTCTCCCAGCCTTCACCGCGTTCGTCAGAAACGGTGAAGGCACCGCGTTTCTCGAACACGGTGATGAGGCGCGGATCGAGCGACGTGGCTCAGCGTGAGGCGTCGGATCTGGAAAGAAAACCACGATCCGCGCCTCACCGCATCCTACGGACACGGTGAACGCGCCAGCGACGCGGATCGCTGACGCAAACAAACACGGGTATTCACCGTGTTTGTCTAACGCGGTGAATACCCCGCGTTAGTCCACGTCAGCGCCTTCACCGTGGAAGTCTAAAACGGTGAAGGCTTCACCGTTTTTGTTTAAAACGGTGAGGTATTCACCGTTCTTAACAAACGCGGTGAACCCTTCACCGTTTTAGTTTGAAACGGTGAATACATCACCGTTTTAGTTTAAAACGGTAAAGTATTCACCGTTTTGGTCAAAAGCGGTGATGACCTTCACCGCTTTTGTCTAAAACGGTGATGCTCAAACATGTGTACTTTTGGAATTTTTTTATAATTTATGTATTTTGGGAATTTTTTTTAAGAACTAGTGTACTTTGGGATTTTTTCCTGTCAGAAGTATATGATTAATATTTCAATGTCAACTAACTTTTTCCGTGGGGTGAAAAGGGCAGCATCAAGAATTGTGGATAGGAAAGGAAATTGGTCTCTCTCCTGGTCCTAACATCGTTAATACTGCAAAACGCCACTAATGGAAACTTGTATGTATTGTATTGTATTAGACAGAAATCATGTCGTTTTAATTGGCAGATAGGAGCACATATCAAAAGTTCAGAGTGGCCATCGACGGCTAACCTCCATTTCCCCCACTTATTCAACAAGCTAGCATCTCTATTTTTTAAGTAATTATCTATCACGTTCATGGAGATATATAGATAGCCCATCGAAACCATTTCAATATTTATCCTGTCACTTAGCTCTTCTGTAACAAGAAATTTTAGTATGCATATGATACTTCTGTGAATCTCAATGGCTAGTGCGCATAAACATTTGAACCGCTACAGACAATACCGACATCCACCACAAACGACATTCGAATCATCGAATGCATCAAGAATGTGCAAATGAAAGTTATCACCCTGTTCTCAAACTCACACAAGTCTCGACAAAACTGTGCATAGAGTTCAAGTCCAAGGCATAAACGAAGAGGCAACATAGGTCCTCACCGAGGTAAGATATGAACATGCAAAATATGAATGAATCAGTCACTCTCGACCAGTGGGGTCAGGACCATACGGTAGACTTAGTGAGCTTGTTAATCATGATGGAAAAGTCCTCCGCTTTCCAGAGTTCAATGACATGTATGGTTATACTTGCTATCTTTGTTTCCAGAGACCTGAGTTTCAATTCTAACATTGATATTTTTTATATAAATAATTAATTAATTGTAAGGAAAAAAATGTCCTACCTACTTTCACTCTCGTTGCAGGCAATTTGAAATGGATAACAGTTCACAAAACTCTACTATATATTATTGGAGGATTTGTAGAGATGTAGAGATGTAGATTGTAAACTTACTAAGTGGTACCTGCAAATTAAATTTCACTTTAGTAATTAAATTGTTAAATTACTACCTTATGTGTCTTCTACTTATGATATTATTGTTTATAAGGTACTGATTTTCTAAAGGTCCAATATCGGTTAGACCACTAAAATACGGACCGTTCACATTACCGAATCATACTCCAATTCGATTCTGACAACGTTGGTAAACACTCATGTTCACCCACTCTCACTCTACCCTTTTTTATCTTGCAATTTATATATATATATATATATATATATATTTGGAGATATATTTTGCTCCAAACTGGCATGGGCAATAAACCATCTGGGCCCAAATGAAAACACATTGTCTTTACTTTATGCTTCCAGTCCAGTCCAGTCCAGTCCATGCCACAAGCCCAGACTCAAATCATTCATGCTCGCGTACTCCTCCTCAACGCTCCTCACTCCTCAGTAACCTCTGCGTTCCATCTGTGAAAGAAAGTCGACCGGAGCGCCGCCTGGGAAAAAAAACTTGGTTCGCGGTTTCTGAATGTTGACTGCATTGCGGTCATCGAGTTCATCATCTCTCCTCCGCCAGTCATGGCGTTTAGGTTTTCCAGTTTCCCGCCGCGGTCTTTGTTCTTCGTCAATCGTCTCGGAAAGCAACGATGGAGGCGATAGGAGAAGCTTGCTGGAGCTCGGCGAAGTGGAGAAAATCCTCAACGACGTGAGAGCCGACGACGTGAAGGTGATACCGGTAGGAAAACGCTGCGATTGGGTTGATTACATGGTGGTCGCCACGGGGAGGTCGACCTGGCACGTCAAGAACATCGCTGAAGCTCTCGTTTACAAGGCAAGGTTCGTCAAATTCAGTTTTGGGAGCTGCTGTTGAAACCCTAATTGGGGGGAGTTCTCCGTCGATTGCGGCATTTGAATGTTTCTTTTATGGTTGCGTGATTGGTTTGGGATTTTGAATTGAACAGGTGAAGCAGAAACAGAAGGGAGTTGAGAGGATGATGCTTCCAAGCGTGGAAGGGCAAGAAGAAGGGAAGTGGATCGTCGTTGATTCGGGTAATGCTCTCAAATCTTGTTTATGTTATATTTTTTTGGGAAATAAAGTTGCAATCTGTAGAGCTTCATACTTACTCTGCAACTTTCTTGGGTGTTTTGTGCCTTTTTCAGGTAGGGTGATAGTTCATGCCCTAGATGAGAATGCTAGAGCTTACTACAAGTTGGAGAACCTCTGGAATTCAGACCCATCGCAGAAGGAGCCATCTCAGGTATCATCATCATATCAGCTCTCATGAACGATTCGGATTTCGGTTATAATTTCAATCAGGAAATATTGAATATATTCAAAGAATAGAGATGTGTTCAGATCTGCGTGGTCTTCCTGTGAGATGGATGCATTTTTCTTCTTTGGTATGTCTTAGTGAAGCACTATTTGCGAACACCTCGTGTCTTTTCCTTCAACCATTGATTACTTCTGCAGAAACCATTGGTGGAGCTGTCTCTCCCTTATCGGGAGACGGTTTAGGCTTCTAAAAACTGACCCTTTTGGAAAGATAAGCTAATACGGTGGAAGGGTTTAGGGTTTTAGAATTATATCTCCATTCTCCCGAAGTTTGCAGTGTAGCATCATTGCTTCAGAATTAGACTCTTAAGAAAAACTAAGAGAAACTTATGAATTTTTCTCTGTTTGCTGTTTTCAGGATCTAGCAAAGGCTTTTGTGAAGATAAGACCGAAGAATAATTCCAAGAAGAGGGTGCAGAGTACTTGAATCTGGGGTTCCGTCTTCCCATAGTTGCTTCTTTCGTGCCAGAAATGAACCGAGAAAGTCTCTGGTTTGTAAAACTGGAGATCCTTGGAGAATTCGATTTTGTCCTGTTCTAACACATTCCAGTAGCTGTTGTGGTCTAATGTAATTTAGCCCTTAGATTGCTTTGAATGACTTTCTCATAATCCGCTTTGCGCGCGTATTCGGCAGTGCCAGCAATTTCCACCTTATCCATGTTTAGGACGAAAGTTGAAAACCACTTCCGTACAGGAATCCGGGTAGGAAAAGGATTTTCAATCCGTATACCGCTTCTTGTATACCTGTCTTCTTTCTCATTCTTTGTTCGTTTTTTCCTTCCTTCCCACCCAAACAAACGAATGGATATGAATAGCAAACCAACCACCATGGCCATGGCACTGATGCACACAACAAAGAGAAAGAGGAGGAAACGCAGGAGCGGAGTCCCTCATCAATACCTGACCAATCTGCCTCGAGCTCTTCTGGAAGAGGTTCTATCCCACGTCGCCTCGAGCTCCATAACCAATCTCTTCAACGCCAAACGAGCCTGCAAGTCCATGTTCGAAGCTTCCTCGCAGCGCTGCGTGCTGGAGCACGCCGCGGTGCTGGAGAAGTTCCCCTACATCAACCGGCACAATCGGCGCAGTTCCTCGTCTTTCCTCCAGGAGTGCATGGAAAGCGGCAATCGAGAAGCGCTGTTCTGCACCGGGATGGCAGAGTACTTTTCCACCCCGGAAACGACGGAGTCTGGGCTTCGCCGCCTAAGGGCTGCGGCCGCGAAGGGTCACGCCGAAGCGAGGTACGTCTGTGGGATGATTCTCTTGTGCTTTGCCGGAGGAGAAGACGACGACGCGAGGAAGGAAGGGTTGGGGTTTCTCGAGGGTTTGAGGCGATCGGATACCGTGAGGAAGTGTAGAAAGACGGTAGAGTCTGTAATGGAGCACTTGTGGTGGGTGAACGGCGATGGCCGTGGCCTGGCAGGGAGGTGCTGGATGGGGAAGGACGTCCGGCGTGGAAGTTGCAGGTGCGTTGAGAAAGAGGAGTTGAAGTGTTTGAGCAGGAATCCGGACTTCTTATGGCTGCGGAGAGAGGAACAAGTGTTGGAAATCGTCGAGAGTCGGCTGTGTGATCTCTGTTTTTGGGACAATGAAGTGCCCGTGTTTTGCAACAAGTTGGGGCCGCTCAATGTGTTTCTTTTGTGAAAAATAACTGTTTAGGGCGGCCGTAGTATTTATTAACTATTAAGTCAGTTAGTATGGAATGGAAGTAACTATGTTTTTTTTTTCTTCATGAGGATGATTGTTGGTTTCAATGGTTGAATTTAGATGGTGTGATAAGTAATATATATGTTAATATTTCTACTTTATTATTAGACCAATTTTTGGGTTGGGATCATATCAGATTTAGTGTACACAATTGAAAATGAGATATTATAAATCAAATATAAAAAAATATATGTTTGGTTATTTAATTACACTGGTTTTCTGTCTGTCCGATGGGTGATGTGCTTCGTTTGTTTGGTTTTTTTCCTTTTATTGTTTGTTATATTTTATTGGTGGTATCAACATGCTACTTCTCCCTATATATTTATTTTTTTGTTTGTGCTATTTATTATCCAAATATTGTTAGATAGGAGGGATGATCACTTTTAGTATGAGTCTGGTCATGATCAACAATCGGAGTACGACATATTATAAAATCATATTTTTAATCGTCTAATATTTTATTGTTAAATATTTCAACGTCATAAGTCATACATGGTCTTACTTTGATTTTGTATTTGGCGTATTTAAATGTTTGTATGGGATATTGTGAGCGTCTAACATTGTCTTCTACTTGGTAACAACAATTTCACATACCGTATACAAATTATAATATGCAAATGATTGAATGAGTCGACTTTTAACTTTTTTCTTTGTAACTAAAACTTTTAGCGGTAGTATACTGCCAATTGGATGGTAAATTTGTCTCCTGATTGGAAACACATACATCTGCATCCATCAATGAAACAATGTTCGACCTTGCCACCCATATAACTGAAGTCAAATATACCTTTATATATATAATGCATTCACGAAAATTATTTGCAACTTCGCTATTTGACTCAAATAAAAACTTAAGAAATTGAGGGGCTATCATCGGGCAGAAAGCTTGACTTACTTGTTTAAGATAAAGTGTCACTTTTGGAGTACCAAAGTTATTTGTTCGTGAAGTACTTTTCTTTTTTTACATAACAATATCAACACACTGATATGTACTTGAAAGATTCCAGAGTGAAACCTTTCATATGTTTGATAACTAAATACTTAAAAATAAATATGAATTAAATAAATGAAAAGAAAGACGATTTTAAATCATGAACATCTTAATTATATTTTCAAAGTATAGCGGCTTCAACAATGGAAAAAATTGTCTTTTTTTTAAAAGCAAATATTTATAACTCGTATTGATGCTCATTACTTTAACATTTAGCTTGGAAAGCAAATATTAATCACCTATCATTTAAATTATTAAAAATGAGTTGTTGGAATAATCTGTCGAAGTCTAAATAGAGAATCTTAATGAACAATAAGTTGTATTTTTTTTGGGTAAAGATGGATGCGATGCATCCTAATTCATATTAATAAAGTGATCATTAGCGATACCCGTTACATCATAAGAGAGCCCGAAACCAAGTTTCGAGTTGCTCACATAGAATATATGTGTGTCGAAAGGAAGCTCATGTCCTACACTAGCCAAGTAATTGACTTAACCTTTTGATGATGTTAATGGTTGTTCTATAATCTAACTTTAGGCTTTAGCTTAACCTTGTTCCAAGCCATAGACAAACGAACCTTCTACATATCCTTTTTAATTTGGTGCTCGTGATGGAACACACACCAAGATTACTAACAAATACACTTTTGCGGCATCCCAGATGATCACTTAGCATCCCTCCAATCGTTTCTCTACCAGTTGGCGAAAGAACATATCCATCAGCCTGAACTTGGATCCACCTCTCCTCCGGTAGACGCATGGAATATGTCTACTCAAGCGAGTCCTAACTACTTTTTCATTCTTACAAATCTTAAATCGTGCACTTATCCTCTGCATAATTACAACTTCATAATAGGGTCAACCCTTCATCGCTTCTTCATTCTCCTGCTTCCATAAATGCGACCAAAATCTAACATGCTTTCTGCTTCTTTAAGATTCTCATTTAGCCAAGTCTTGAAGTCCATGTTTTGCCCCTGAGAAATATTCAATTTAAAATGCTCCTAGACTCCTTTTGTCTGTTTTCATTGTCGAAGTATATGTTATGGAGTTTCGTCAAATCCTCTGCAGTGCGGACAACATGTATTGGTGGTGAGATTTCTCTTCTGACCTTCTTTGTTGGTAAGCAGGCGGTTGTGGGTCGTGAGTCGGAGAAAGTGTTTCACTTTGCTTGGTCCTCTCTATCTCCCATTCCATATATGGTCTGTCTCGTCATCCTATTCATCTACAACGAGCTTGTAAGCTTATTTAAGCCTAAACCTCCTATCACGTTCAATTCTCCACATGGAATTTTCCTCTCCCATCCCGAGTTTGGGTATTTCCCCCACGCAATCAACATAAGATATCATTTTGTAAGAGGTTCTCCAGCCTGCTCCAGTCCCACTCGTCTGTCTCTATGATCCCATATGAAACAACTTATTCCTTCTCCCATTCTAGGATGTCACTCAGCAGATGATCTTGCACAATTAGTTTGCATTCCATCCAACAACGCAGTCAAAATTGCGCTTTAAAACTTAAAAGCTTACGATTTTACGCTTATAGTTCACCAAAACGCTTTTGTTTCCATATAAAATCTTTAGTGTATAAAATCGGACTAAATTGCGCTTTAAAGCTTAAAAGCTTACGCTTTTATGATTCTAGTTCACTAAAATGTCTTACGATTTATCTCATTTCCGCTTCTAGTTAGAATCGCGCTTTTGACTGCAGTAAAATGATGTGTCCAAAATCTCATTAGTTTCATGTTCATAATGCTCCAAGTGGCTTCCTTTTTCATTAGTGGAATGACTTTCAAGATGGCTCGCCATAATGGTTGAGTAGTTGCTTTTATTCACTTAAATAATTTTTCCATCTTTGTTGAACTACATTTCCTAGATAACCTACACCCAAAGAGCCGACTCATTGTTGAGCATCATCAATGCAAGCTTAATCGTGTACACCATATTGAGGCTTCTTGATTATCTCAATCCTAGCCCTCATTGATCTTTTAGGTTTACAAACATTCTCCACGAGACAAGATAGATTTTACTTTTCCCTTCTTTAGATTCCCATACAAGCCACCTCGCCTTTCTATCAATAGCATCACACACAAAGGATGGCAGTAAAGAAGTCTTTATTGCATAGGTGAATATTGTATTCAAAACGAAAGAGCAAGGGTACCACTCTTCAGCAAGGACAATGTTTTGGCTTTCAAAGCTATAAGGTTTTGGTCAATCATGTCAAGAGACAATCGGTAAGTGTTCCTAGTTATTCTACCATGTAGGACATGTACTCCTAGGTATTTCCCCTAGGTCGAGGTATTCTAAATTTCTAATCTATCACATACATCTCTATTGGCCTTAATCCTAGCATTCTTGGAGAAGAAGAATCTTGACTTCTCCTTGCTAACTAGTTCATCTGAGTCTTTACAAAGAGTAGGTGTGACAAGGGCGATCAATCCACTTATAGATTCATAGGGATCCATTATTCTCCCTAACCTCTTTGTTTGTGCAATGACTAAGATGTGCAATACATAAAGTAAATAGGTAGGGAGAGGGCACATCCCTACTGTAGGCCTTTGTTATGTGAAACTTTCAGCCTCTCCACTATTCGAGAGCACCTGGGCCATCAATGTCGTGACACAGACAATGATGATTCTGATATAGGTTTTAGGGATGTTAGCAACACAAATGGTATCTTTCCAAAATCTCCAGTTGATTCGATCGTATGTTTTTTCCAGTTCGATCTTCAACAACATTGACCCTTTCCTTATGCTCTGCTTCATCACACAATGAATAATTTTCTGCAAAATTAAGATATTACCAATGATAATGCCTTTTGGGTATAAATTCGGAATGGTTATGATTGATAAGATGAGGGGATAAGAGCTTTCAAATTTTTAATGCATTTGGCCACCACTTTGTAGTCAATGTTACATCAGCTAATTGGTCTAAACTGGTTCATTGATGTTGGGGCATCTGTTTTGGGAATGCGGTTTAGGAGAGTCTCATTTACAAATTAGATCTTTTTTGGTTCCCCGAAGCAGCCATCAATGAACTTGTAGATGTCGTTTCCCACAAGCCCCCACCATTTACCCATGTTTTCGAGGAGCTTTCATTCTCATTAGAATATGCATGGCCTTTTCTAGGCTTCAGATTTCTCCCATTCTAGCATTTTGGGTGGCCCCCATTCTTGAAAACTTAGCACTTATTTCTAGCCAATGTTCCTGCTCCTATTTTGTATATAGTGACGAAGAAGTCACGTGCCCTCTATACTTTGAATCACATTTGGGTCAGTTTTTCATTCCGCACTATCGCCTTTGAGTGCCATAATCCAATTTCTTTTTCGTCTACTCAAGGTGTTGTTTTGAAAGAAATGTGTATTCTGGTCACCATGTGCAATCCAATTGGCTCGTGATTTCAGGATCCAAATGACGTCTTCTTGCCACAAGGTCTGCTCAAGTTCGTATCTTGTGTCTCCTTCTTGTTCTAATAAACGAATTCTTGGGATCTATCATTGAGGAACTCCAAAGAGATCAACCTGCTAAGGTGGTGCTTCTTCCTATGAAAGATATTACCAAAGATTTCTTTCTTCCATTGATGGCATGTCTTCACAAGATCAGCAAAGAAGGACAAAGATCACCATCATATTTACAGGAGGAATTAAGAAACTAAAAGAAGTGTTTATGAGTTATCTGAAGAACTAGGAATTGGAACCATCTAGCCAAATTCCCGGGTCTATGTTGTCTCTTATTGTAGGTAAGAATGAAGCAATGATCATACTTCAGTTCAGGCAGATGGTGGGTTGTGGAGTCTGGTTAGCGTTGATGCCATTCCAAATTACACAAATTACTGTAGAGTCCCTCTTTGGTCTTGGATGAACTAGTGAACTAGGTGAATTTAGGGCATGTGAATCCCAAATCAATTAGTCCAATCCTTGATACCCTCATTGAATGCCCTTGTTTTGTCGTACTTAAAATGTGTTCCTTCATGCTTCTCCAACGACTTTGTGATTGAGTTGAAGTCACCAAGGATCAACCATGGGACTAATGTTCCTCTATAAAGGCCTCAGATATCATTATATACATCTCTTCTATCATGCTCATTCGGGCTAGAATACACTGACGTGATATGGAGACCACTTTGTTAATCATCAAGCATTTAAGATGGAAAAATTATTTTTTCTATCCAGGACTTCCACGTCCATCTCTGATTTATTCTAGAGTACCCAATTTCCACCGTTGTACCAAATTGCATCATATACCTCACACGAATCAAAGTCAAGACTTCTGATAATGGAGGTCGCAAAGTTCCCAATTCCCACTAATTATTGGTTACAAAATCTAGATCAAATTTGGGAGAGTGTGTGGTCTTATATAACTCAAAGGTTGAACAGAATTCAGGGTGTTTAGCACCCATGTAGTTCCAAGAGAAGACTTCAATAATTTATATGATTAAATAGGATTTCCCCTGCTTACCTGAAGGTTGGAGTTCATTTCAAGTCGACTGTCATTATCGTCACCCCGTCCTAGTTTGAGTGCTATTACTCACGGGTTGGGTCTCGAGACCATTTTTGGTGAATTCTTAGTTGGCTGCGGGTTCCAACCAAAGTTAATCTTTCTAGGATTACCTTTTCAATTTTTAGGGGATTTATGGTTCTTTTCTTAGTTGATTTGCTTGTCATTGGGGTGAATAGTCCTTCATCTTAGTTTGGTGACCTGCTTGAACGCCTCAAGTCTAGCTCTTAATCTCCCTTGTGATTTGGAGGCAGAGACTATGTGGCTTCCTCCTTACTAGTCTCCCTGATGTTGAGCAATTTCTACATTTGACCCTCCTTTCCCTTTCACGTTTGTAGCAACCTGGCATGAGCTGGTAATTTCCATTGGTTTGCTTCCTTTAGCCCTATCCTTCGATTGGATGTTTCAGGCATTGCTTTATGTTGATCTTCTTTTATATGGAAGCTATGGTCTTTGTTATTCTTCTGAACTATTTTCTTCTTTGAACTTCTTGTATCCTACCTACACCCGGGATTCTCAGTCTTTATTGCTGTTTTTTATTATCACTTTTTGGATTCTCTGCTTGTTATTTAGTTGTTTTTTTGTCACATTTTGGTCAATCATCTCCTCGTCCTTCCCCTCCTGCTCTGAAGCCACCTCTTTCTCTGCCTCAACAGTCTGAGATTATTTGTTGCCTTCATCTTCAAAGGCATCAAAGTGTGACCTATATATCCAACCTGCTTTTTACTTCTTGCTACCCTTTTATTTCGCCTTTTTTTTCCATAGTTTGTTATATTTCCCTTCTAAGCCTTATTGCGAGCATCCACACCAAAAAAAATTCACGATCTCCTGATGAGATTTAGTCGTAGTAACTTTCATTCTTTATCTATAGTTAAGGGTTTCGTAGTGGGTCTCCTGGGACAATCCTTCGTATTCCACCCACCGAACTCTTCAATTCATTCGGTTTTTTATACCAGTTTTTATTTATGTTGATTTCGATGCATAATCTTGTCCTTTGTGTAGCATCCTCTAAATCCATTGGAAGTATTGGAATCAATTTAATGGATTTTTTATACCAATTATTCTTTGTTACATGTTTATACCAATTATTGGATTTTTTATACCAGATTGTAATTAATTTCATTGTAAAAAAAAATAATATAGAATACGATTTGTTAACTTGCAATATCACAAAAAGTCTAAATGCTATTATTTCTTGATAAATATTCTCAAGAGTGCTTTGGTCACTCACTTCATGGCTCATAAGGATTCTTCACACTTCCGGACCAGGCTATTTTAGGGGGGAAAACCGGCTGCTGTTGGTCAGTAAACCGATGAACCGAACCGCAACCACCGAACCAACACCCTCACTGTGACTTTTTTAAATAAATAAAAAAATTGTACAGTCGCCAAACGTAACACACTCTCCAAGCAGCACGAACTTCGTTTTTATCGACCTTTTTCGCCATAGTTGTTCCGGAGCTTCCAAAGCAATTGAAGCCATAGAAATCCTCTTCCACAGCTCCTACAAATTCCGAAGCTCCGCAGCATCGTCCCTCTGGCTACTCTCATCGTTTCGCATTCTTCTTCGATTGTTAGGAGGAACTTCGGCGGAGCTCTCATGGCTACTGTTGCAGGATCCAGCGCCGTCGCCTTCAAATCCGCCGGAACCTCCGCAGGTTTCCGCAGCTCCTCCGGTGACAGGAGTATCGGCCAGTTCCGTCCGCTTTCCGGCGTGGTCAGCAGCAACCTCAACGCCGCTCGCGCTAGCCTCCGGTGCAGATCGACAAGCTCCGTCGCCTCTTCTGGTAATCAATTTGTTCGCTGCGTTTGTACTCTTCCTTTTGTTTTTTGATTTCTTGCATTTCTGATTGTGGATTTTGACGGCAGGCGTGAGAGCTCAGGTTGCCACAGCGGAACAAGCGAGCACGGAGGCGGCGCAGAAGGTGGAGTCACCCGTAGTTATAGTGACCGGAGCATCTAGAGGCATCGGCAAATCAATTGCATTGTCCTTGGGGAAAGCAGGTTGCAAGGTAAGCATTGATTGATTGCTCTGTGATTCGCTATTGTCAATTTTCTCGCATTGTGCTAGCAATCTGAAGTCTAAACTGCAGAATATACACATTGAGCTGTTTTGACTTGTTAATCTCTTGGTCTTGTGGGAGATGAATTGCTAACCTTTCCTGCTATCCATAATTGTGTTAGTTATCGCCAGAAATGAACCATTTGAAATGATTCTTTTCGGATTTGTTTTGGATTGTAATAGGTGTTGGTAAACTATGCAAGGTCGTCTAAGGAGGCAGAAGAAGTCTCCAAAGAGGTGATTATTTTTCCTTTCTTGCCATAGCATAGGATTCAATTGCTCTGTGCTGCCTCAGAAACAACGACATTTTTATATAAATATGCCGACTGAGACATTGAATCATGTTGTCTAGATTGAGGCTTACGGTGGTCAGGCTGTTACCTTTGGTGGGGATGTCTCCAAAGAAGAGGACGTGGAAGCAATGATGAAAACTGTGAGAACAGAAACCTTTTTTGGTTTGTTTGGACAGCAGTTTCTTAGTCGAGGTTGTTGACCATGATCGGTTAAATGATGGACATTTTTGCAGGCTATTGATGCATTTGGAACAGTTGACATACTGATAAACAATGCAGGTAAACTTCAGAGAGGCTTGATGACTTTTTGTTCTTTATAATCTCGTTGGGCATCTTGATCTTATTGAACAGGGTTGCAGGGATCACGAGGGATACTTTGTTGATGAGAATGAAGAAATCTCAGTGGCAGGATGTTATTGACCTCAATCTTACGGGTGTCTTCCTTTGCACACAGGTATAGGGTTAAGATGTTGGTACTTGTGCATAGATAAGTGATATTTCCTTATGTTGAACCGAGTTAGTTTACTCTTTTCAGGCAGCTGCCAAGATCATGATGAAGAAGAGAAAGGTATTAATTACAACTGTTCCAGCTTAAGGATATTCTATTTTACCATGTTCAAGTAGAAGCCTGTTTTGAACATAGTTGTTGAGCTTTTGAAATATTGTTATTGTAGTTTTCCTTCTCTGTTTTAGGAATCTTTAAGAGAATTTTCGATTAGAGTGAATCCTATTATTAGTCTTAAACGTTTCCTTCATAAGAAAATTTAGCTCTCATATTGTGCCTCTTATGGTCTTTGATCCTTCAAATGATTTCAATCTTCCTGTGTTCTGAAGGGAAGGATCATCAATATTTCTTCAGTGGTTGGTTTGGTTGGTAATGCTGGGCAAGCAAACTACAGTGCTGCCAAGGCTGGAGTTATTGGCCTGACAAAGACTGTTGCTAAGGAATATGCCAGCAGAAATATTAATGTGGGTGGCCTGGAGGCATTGCCGTTCTCTCCCCTTTTTTTTTCTTTTTCTTTTTCTTCTACATGCTCTGAATGCAATATTTTCCAGGTTAATGCTGTTGCTCCAGGATTTATTGCATCTGACATGACTGCCAAGCTCGGTGATGATATTGAAAAGAAAATCTTGGAATCGATTCCTCTAGGTGAGCCATGAGCTTAAGGTTTCTGGTATGCTGTGCCTACTTGTTTCAAGACTTAGTTTCAGAAATCCCATGTTTGCATTAATTGTTTGTGCAACAAAACAATTGCTGTGGATCCTCACGTACTTTATGCTTTTGAGAGAAGTTTATTATCAGTGCATGTGCTCTTTCATCTTTAGCCAGCAGTGAGTGCCTTAATGATAATCTTCCAATGATTAGTGTCTAAATAGTTGGTTGTTATCCAGGGAGGTATGGCCAGCCAGAAGAGGTAGCTGGATTGGTGGAATTCTTGGCTCTGAACCCAGCAGCTAGTTACATCACTGGACAGGTCGAGGATCTTCTCCTTCCTATTCATTATGCCAATTGGTTATTGAAGCTTTAACACGGGTTCTTGCGGCCATGACACAATTCTAGTTGGCTCCTCTTCCCATAAGTTCATTGTGTCCAGACCTTGTGCCTTAACCGGCTTAACATAGCTTTACTCCATTCTTTCCCCTTAACAATATACTAACTAGACTGCAAGTTGTAGTACCTTTTCATGCCATGTCAGGGCGGTAGCTACTTTAGCTAAATTGAACAGAATCCACCACTAACTAGAGAAGCATCTGACTGACGTGTACCTCACTTACCTAACCATTCATCTTCTAGCTGATTTGCTAAACAGTAACATGTAATATGTTCGTTTTTCTTCTTCTGAACGTACATTGTGTCCAACTGGCCGTGGTCTTGCAGGTGTTCACTATTGATGGAGGAATGGTTATGTAAGTGAAGAGGGGAGACATGCCCTCTCTTTCCCCTCCCAATCCCGACGGTGCATCTACCAAGTTCAGATACGTGACCTCCGATTTGTGCTTCTATTTTCTTCTTTTAACTAGGGCTATATCCTGTGATTAGCTTAGTTAATAAAGCCGAATGCTCCCTTCCCTCAGTTTTTCGATAGAGCTGCAGTCGTAGTGTGTAGCATGTACTTACAATGTAATCGAAGGACGAACATTCGAGAATGTGATGAGGTTTGATTCAGTTGTGTAGTAAGAGAAATTTACAATTGAGCTTCCGTTGTATGATGAAAACGATTCCTTTTGTTTGGTGGTGTAGAAAATTTGAGCTGGCGCATGGCTTCTAGCACTTGCGCTTTTCTTAGTTTGTTCTGCTTGTTGTGACTTGCAATTGCATGTTGGTGTGAATTGAAAGTACGGGAAGTGAACGTGAGATGCATCTTTAAAGTCCGAGAGCAAAGCCATCGAATTGCAGACTCGCCCTTGCCGCGGAGCTCCTCCACCACCTAGTCTTCTTCATCCTCCCACCACCTGAAAAGTGTGAAAGAGGGCTAGCCTGGTTGGTGGGAAGATGGAGTAGTACATGAGAGATTATGTGTTTGATCCCATCTTTCAGATTGGTACAACCACCTTGAGTAGCACTTACCAGTCAATATCAATGACCTACAGTAAGATTCTTCGTCATTATAATTTTTTTTGAAAAGTACACTTTAATAAATCTTCAACTAAACTTACAGCTTTTAGGAAAAAAGATATATAAAAAAAAAACTCCAATACACATTAGTAGTCATCCAAATGTAAATCCCAGCCCCCTTCCCTCTTCCAACTTTGACCCTCCTTGTATGCAATCCAGATGCCCCTAGGATTACAAGGAATGCAGGGATGTACAAATATATTCAACCCATATCAACGTGCTAATGGGCTGTGCAACCATAACCATATAGTATGAGTCACTTGGGAACTTCCTCTATATACTTAAGATGGAAGCATTCATTCTATCAGGGCTACCGCTGTAATCGAGCTCTGCGAATGTGCCGCCTCCTTCACCTTTGGCCAGCCTTCCTGGGTTTATACAGATGCATTTCTTTTGCTCTTCACCTTCAGTTGTTCCTCCAAGTGTTAATACCTGCACCAGAGACAGAGACAGAGGATTAGAGGGAAGCCATTCTTTGATAAGGCTAAGGTATGCACTAAGCTTTAACTTACCTTAATGAAGTACTTCATGTCTGAAGGTAATATGAGAATGTCAGGTGGAGGAGAAGCAATGTGGAGAGCTTTTGGAGAGAGTGAGAAGTCGAGTGGGACATCTTCTGCCGGCGGATAAAGTGGATAAAAGCTGCTTTCAGGAAGTTTTCGTGTTGAAGCTGTTAGATACCGTGATGGGATTCATAATTTGTAACAAGAAGATAGTAATATGCCTTTGGAACTTGCCTTTGCTGATTTAGGATATGGCTTGCAAGTCTGCTCATCCGGTCGCTTGGTGGTGAACCATCTTTGGGATTCCGAGATAGCTCCTCTCCACTAAGCTGTTTAAGAATATCTACCGTACAGCAACCTACCCTGACCTGATAAACCGGATCATTGAGAGGAGTTACGACCCAATCTGAACCCAAAAGCAAAGGATGTAACTGTTGAAATTACCTTATTTGCTTCGAAAATGCCTGGGTTTGTGAGACTCTTGATCTGGGCAAACCAAACAAATAGTACTAAGTCATTCTGTCTGGTTTCCATGATGAAGATCCAACAGACAAGTACTCGAAAAGAAGTCGTCATCCAGAGGTTGATGAGTTACCTGATGTTTGAGATCGGGAGGATGAATGTCAAATGCAGGCTGGAGAAACCAAAGCACATCGTCATGGGATTCTCGAATTGAGCGACAAACTTATGGGAATGATGCACTAATGGAAACTGCTACAGGTAAAATGAAGAAAGTTAACTTGATGCTACCTGAGGGAAAACAAAGTCATGGTTAGCGTCGCGTATGGAAGGTACAAGAATCACTCTTGCATTGGAACCCATATGTTCAACATAATCTTGCACCTGAAATTGAAATCAGAGAGAAGGGAGCATCATCTAGGAGAGTTGTTTAACCAAATCAATTGGCAAACCAAGTTTTATGAAGCTGTAAATACCCTTCTGATGATTTCCATATGAAAAATTTCATCAAAGCTTCTGTCCACCGTTCCTTTCTTAACCTCTGGATGTTCTGAGTCAACAAATGGTCCCAACTGAAACATTACAGTAACCGGTTTACTGTAAAGAGACTTCTTCACTTGAAAATAGGAAGAGTAGATTGAGTTTCAAAGAAACTAACTGCTTACCAATATAAGCAACTGCGGTTGCTTTTTTCTTGCGTATGCTAGTAGCTCCAGGAGAGGTTCAAAATATAAGTTGTCAGTCGTAGTAAATGGTCCTGAGCCAACAAGCTGCTCGAAATAAAATAAAAGTTATGCTAGGGAATGGAGAGCGTGAATTAAAGAGAGAGGATTTGACCACTTTGGAATACCATCTAATAACAAAAAGAATTCATGAAGACTATCCAGCACAAGTACTAACCACTGATATCTCTTGTCCTGGACTGGAAGAGTCAGCCAACCGAAGGTCTTGGTCCAAAGCTGGTCTTTTCGCAGGATGCAAATCTTCAACATCGTTTGCTGATAAAGGAACAGAATCTACAAGCTTTGATGCGATCAAACAATATCCACTTGGATTGTTACCTTCAACACCTACAATCTGCAGAGAAATAACAAGTCTATTTGTTGAGTATGCAATTGGGCATGAATGAATCAAACACCAACAACTTGTATCCACAGATTTTTTACCTGTCCTGGAAAAACAGAGAACTGGTTCACTTTTTGTAGATCTAGACGCACACGCTGTCCTCCTGAATGCTCAATGCTGTCAAATTTAGACTTTCAGAATTTGAGAAAGAATTTGGGGTCGTTTGGATGAGGAATTGTAACGGATCAATTTGACACAATTGTCTCATTTTGAGACAATTGTACCAAATTGCCTCGTTTGCCAGCAAAATATTTGGATGGATCAATCTGCCTGAGGTATTTTGAATTGATCCGTTTTGAGTCAATTTCAATTACCTGGAGTGAGGGTAGGTAATTCGAATTGACTCGTTTTAATTGACTCATTTATAAAACGAGACAATTGATCAAATTGACTCATTTCAAGATTGATCCATCCAAACGAAAATATGAGCAAGGAAACAAACTTTGCATAAAAACCAGTAAAGCAGGATGGTTCTCTTCCCATGAAATCCTTCTAGATGATGAATATAGAAAGGCCCTTATGAAATATATGACATGCTTTCTAAGTTTTATGTTTTGGACTATCCATGGAAATGTGATAAAATAAAGACTATTGTTCTGCAGATTCAATTAGGGCTAAAATTTGGACATGGTATATATAATGGTTAATCTGCTTATCTATCATCAACAGAGAGCAAAACAGTCTGCATCGATGAAGTTTTACCTGCTTTGCAACATAATTGACTTGTCATTTAGTCGACCTTCCTCTTCACAACAAATCATTCCAACAGCAAATATACTTCTCTGAAATAATAGTATTCATGAGATGGATAAGATATGAGGTGCTTTCTAATGCAAGAATAAAATAAGGAAGTGAACTGTAAAGTTTACCCCGGAAGCAACCGAAGGATCTGATGGTTCCTCATAAATACCAGACGAAAAAAGTGAAGCAGCACGCCTTCTGATGCGGTTGTCAAGTGCATTAAACTAAATAACAAAGAAGGAAACGAAGGCACTAGCTTTAGTGGAATTTGTTGGAGATCCATTTCTAAGTAACTACATTCACAATTGGGAAACAAGCGACTGAGTACCCGGTCTTCAATCCTGTCATACATGAATCTGCAACCCGGCTCAGGCCCATCTCCATGGACAACCAAAGAAAAACTCTTCAACGGTTTAACCCTCTTGATCACATCGTCCTCAGAGTCCATACTAACATCCTCTTCCTCGCCTTTCTCGGTATCAAGCAGATTGTTGATGTTGAATCTCGCAACAAACTTATCGGTCCTTTGCCCGAATGGAGTCACAAGCCTTGACGGCTTCTCAGAAGAATAACCGTTCCCGTTCGAGTAATGTGCTGAATCAAATGGTTCGGGGTATGGTTTTGCATTTTTAACTGGAGGAGTGCTCAGAATTGCATCCTTGAAATTTTCCTCATCGTCATTCAAAATCCTACAAAGAAAGAAATAAGCAGTTCCCCTCTATTCATTTAAAAACCTCTTTATTCAACAAAGAATTTAAACAAATTGTTCGCGAAGAAACTACTTACATGTCAACATCCTTGCTCGAGTAGAAATGAAGGCCGGCTTCCTGTTTAAGCACAGCTTCTTTCTGCTCGTTTTGTAAGTGCGATAGGAAACCTTCCATTTCCGCATTCTGAACAACTAAATCTTTCAGCTTTCTGTACCAATAAACCCAAAAAAACGAAACCAACAAACTCAAATTACAGTGCTCGAAAGCTGTAAATAAGAAATAAGTGAAAGAACGAAGCAATTCGCATGTTTTTTTTTTTTTCCACACTTCAATTTTACCGATTGAGAGAGTAGACGTCCCAGCTGGAAACGAGATCCGAAGGAGTAAGCTTGTAGTTTATGCAAAAAGTGAGACCTGATAAACCCGAGAGACCATATTAGGAAGTCAAAGCGCCATGGGAATAAACTGAGTGACAGCAGAATTTTAGAGCATTGGCAGGATAGGGATTCTTACATTTGTTGAGGATTTCCTCTTCGTTCTCAAGGCTAAAGCCGTTCTTTTCAAATTCAGCTTTGATTTCGCCTTCCATGACTGGTTTCGTTTGTTGCTGCGACTTTGCTCAGCCTAGGGTTTCAGTTGGGGGGAGAAGTTGATGAAGGCGAGTAATGGCGGGAAAATGCAGGCTCGATTGGGCATAGATCTGAATCTCCCGCGGGTTTGGTTACCGATTTTAGACGCTCCGTTTGAGTCTTATTACAGAAATACCCTTCTGTTTCGCCGGGCCTCAATGGATTTCTTCAATTGACTTCCAGCCCGTTCGCGGTTCGGCCCGAGTTATCGATTCGGTAATTCAAAGAATCATCTATATTGCAGAAAATTACTCATTCTTACAAATCACTATAGAACTCTTTATACAATACATTTTGAGCTTATATGTGATAATAAAAAAAAGGATTGAATGCAAGTTAAAATCGAAAATAAAAATTCAATTTATCAAGAAATTTCTTTCAGCCTAGAATGAGTTACCCAATTTGTTCTAAAATTTCGCTGGAATTGGTGGGCAACTGGTCTGGCTGTATGGCCAAATGAATTGTTACATACTAGTGGAAGAGATGGTCAGTAAGAGACCGTTTGTTTCTGCTGCAATTGGAAAGAACACATAAAAGTCATAACCTTCTCATTGCACTCTTTATCATAAAAGTTAGGAAAAAATCCAAAAGTACCACTGTTTAAAAAAAAAATTCCAAAAATACCACCCAATCCCAAAAAATTCTAAAAATACCATCCTTTTTCAAAAACCGCCACCCCACCCTACGGTTTTCGTGTAAACTGCAGGGTGGGGTGGCGGTTTTTGAAAAATGGTGGTATTTTTGGAATTTTTTGGGATTGGGTGGTATTTTTGGAATTTTTTTTTAAACAGTGGTACTTTAGGATTTTTTTCCTAAAAGTTAGAGATTACTGGATTCTATAATTAAATTTGGATATCAAATTCAATCCATTACAAATTTAGAAAAAATTCTTTGTTTGTTTACAATTTTTGAAGGATCAAATTCATGAGGTCCACAGATTTTGAGGGTCCAATTCCACGAACTGCAAAGACCGCAAAGACTTATAAATCCTATATATAGGTGGGTTATGTGACTTTGTCTTAAATTCATAATGATCATTTACTTGTATATCTACATTTAAAAGTAAAAATGCTTTAAGTTACTGATATCATTTATATTTAAAAGCTATGAATCCATAAAATAAAATTCATAAACAAATTCTACAAACAAACAACATAATAAACCAAATCCATCACAAATTCAATATTTTTCCAAAACCCTAATTTACCAAATCTAACTAGGGATGGCAATGGGTCGGGTCGGGGTCGGGTCGGGGGCATATCTGTTACCCTACCCAATGTAATTCGGGTTTTACCCATACCTGTACCTACACGAGAAACGGGTAGAAAATCAAAACCATGCTCATACCGGTTCAGGTTTCGGGTATCCACGGTTATCCATGGGTAAAAATTTATCCTTATAATTCCAACCAATATGTTAACATTCACACGTATACTCACATTACGTAAGAGGAAAAGTACGACAATAATTCACTAGAATGACGAAAATTAATTAAAACAACATAATTTCATGAAAATATTATATTTATATGCCAAATATAAAATATTCTAGAGAAACTTAATGATTATTTCTAGACAAAATACATATGCATGTGTATAATCGGGCGGGTTCCGGTTGGATAGTGAGATAACCATGCCCATCCATTACCCGCAATATTCGGGTTCGGGTTTTACCCGTACCCACGAAAAATGCTTCGGGTTCGAGTTTTACCCTATCCGATTAGGTCGGATTCGGGTGGATATCCACGGTTACGGATATTTTTGCCATCCCTAAATCTAACTAGCACTCTTACAGTACCCTACATTTACACCATAAACGCTAACTTAAAGTAAGACCACCCACGTAAAAGTGGCGAAAGTAAAAATTTTGGGGATATTTCATTTTAAGCAAAATGCCCATTTAATAGTTCCATTTTTTCAGGCCGGAATCCATTTCTTCTTAAGCGGAAAACCCCATTAATAGTTCCACCTTCAGCCCAATGGAAGAAAGAACCTCAGAATTCAAATGCACAGTGAATTGGGAATTGAAGAAGAATCTGTCTTCTGAAAGGTATCCATCAAATTTCTTCACCAGCAAGGTATGCATCAAGTGAAAACATTGACATTTGGATGTAAGGATTCTGGTTACCAGTGTTAAAGTACTGTACATTAGAAAAAAAAAAGGAGAAAAAAAACAACTTCTTTTTCCAAACTATGAGAGCACATGCACGATCTGGAAAGGAAAGAACATTACTAAAAGGTTGCTCTCCCTTGAGTCTTGACCTTCTGTCTTCTGTGGTGTTTCATCAGCCTTTTCAGGCAGCTAATGATGTAGCCCGCCGGTGAGTGTAATCCTGGTACCCTGGTTTACGATTAATCGAACCACCACCACCATCCGCTTCCAACCCTTGTGCACCAAAACACAAGTACTGGTTCATCACCTTCGCATTGAACGAACCCTGCTTGCGACTCATAAGCTTAGAGCCAAATGTTGCTGATTTACCAAAGTTTTTATCTCGATTCGACGAAGCTGGTGAGCACACCGATGAAGATACTGCTGACAAAGGACTCGGAGTCGACTGATGGATGGGGCCAGATAAATGTGGCTTCGCATGTATCACCCCGTGCATCAACCCTGCTGCAAATCTACTCCTGGTCAAAGGACTGGGAAGATTCCCATTAGCATTGTCGTTGGTCGATGAAAATGAGGCGAACTTCGAGTATTTCTTCCTCAACGGAGTCGGACACTCCTCGTAGCTTCTGCATACATGAAACGAGTCGATAGAAGACGCCTCGTCGTCTGTTAACTTGGCCACCACGCTAGGGTCTTTTTGTTCCTTTGATTTCTTCTTCTTCTTTGGCCATTGGAGGAGTGCCTTGAGCCGCTTTGCTGCAGAACTCACCTTGCTGCCTGTCCTTGCACTTGCCTTCTTCTCCAAGTCATCGATACTCGCCTCTTGTTGGCTCAGTGCTGAACTATAATCTGCACTGGTACCCAGCTCGCGGCTGAAATCAGACGGTGCTGCATGCTCCACACCAGTGTGTAGGAAGATCTCACCATCCGGGATCCGGAAACTGGTTCCTGGGCTCGTCCCTATGCCACCGCGACTGCCTCTCAACTGTGAGGCAATCACCGTGGCACTGTGTCTTCTGCTGGAGACACCTCCGGCAGAGACCAGCTGCTTGATCAAGATCTCCGAATCAGCTGATCTCGGCCTCGTTTGCCTCAGGAGATCCAGTGGTGTCATCCCATCAGCATCTCTAACGTTCAAATTGATCGAAGGGACGGTCATGAGAAGCTCGACCAAGCTAGATTGAATGTTTTCAATCATGGCAATGTGAAGGGGAGTTCTTCCATCATTGTTCTTCACATTGATGACCTCTTGGATGTTCACTGTCCCCCGAGAAGAGACTAGCTCCTCCATGAGCTCAATCTGCCTGTCCATTCTCCGAAAACCGGGTGTCCTGAACCCCGAAACGGCCATGTGCAGGAATGTGTCGCCATGGATGTTTGTGAGTGAGGTTAGTGATGGACATTCTTGGATTAGCGCCTCCACGACAGGTAAGTGGCCGCGATAAGCAGCCACATGGAGGGCCGAGTTGCCGTTGTGGTCTATGGATGTGATTATATGATATGAAGCTATCAGCTCCTTCACCACCTGGGAAAATGATACTTTTGGTTATGAACAATTGAAACGTTTCCTTTCCTGCTAACGCTAAAAGAAAGAAACGTTTTTTTTCTTCTATTTCTGGAAAAGCAAAATATGTACCTCAACTTGGCCTCTTCCAGCTGCAGAATGCAAAACAGAGGAACCCTGATCATCACGATAACTCAAGACATCGCCGCAATCCTTGAGCAATTCCCCCAGAATCTCCAGATTCCCACCTCTGGCAGCAGAATGCACAGCGCGATTCGCAATATCCTTCTCGAATTCCGTGTCCCCGTTTCGATTCTCCATCCCTTCATCACTCCCCTGCTTCCCCGTCGGCGAAACAGAGCATCGGAGCAAAACCCTGAAAACCTCGGAGTTCCCGCCCCTTGCGGCGGCATAGAACATGTCGGTGACGCCATACTCTCCCTCCCCGAACACCAAAAACGGGTCTCTGGCGAGCAATTCGTTGACGAATTTCAAATCGCCGGCGGAGGCGGCCGTGTAGAGAAGCCACCCGCCGTAGCGGGCTCTGACGAGGGTGTTGTAGCCAGGGGAGATCTCGCACTCGCGGTAGAGCCTGCGAGCGACGTGAGCGCGACACTTGGCGACGTCTCCCCTGGATTCGGGCTCCTTCTTCTCGTCGTCGTCGTCCCAGACGGTCTCGAGGCGGCGGATGCGGCGGAGGGAGGTGAGCTTGATGAGGAGGTTGTTGTCCAGGTGGAGGAGCTCCCGCACGAGGTCGTAGTGGCCGTTGGCGGCGGCAAAGTCGATCGGGGACGCGTACCACCACTGGTCGCCGGTGCTCTCCCACCGGAGCGGGAAGTTCGACGGCGGCATTTTTTTTTTTTGGCAGAGAAAGGAAAAAAAATAGGAAAGTCGGACGCTTTTTGTTGTTTAGTGAATTGGGTTTTGGGTTGGGAGGAGAAACAGAGGGAAGAAGCTAGAAGAAGAAGAAGAAGAAGAGTTCATTGGTGAAGGGGGGATAAAAGAGGAAAGACGGCAACTTTTTTGCCGGGAAAGGGAAGCCATTGAAGGTTGGGAAAAGAGAGAGAAGAGAAGGTAAGTAGGTAGTTGCTTAGGTCGCCAACTAAAAGAAAGGGTGGTTTTTTTGTGGAGAGGAGGCCACTTGGATTTGATCTGTGGGGTTTGTGTTGTTTCGGTTTTTTTGGGCGGTTTACAGATAATTTTCTTATGGTGGAGAAATTGTTTCTGAAATTGGCTTTAGAGAGGAGTCGGATTCCGGTTATAATTAGGTCGTGAAAGTGAGTGTCTTTGTCTGGCTATTGCCACGGAATCGCTACAGAGAGAGAGAGAAAAGGAGAGAGGACTGCTTTGGTTTTGGAGGTTTTCATGGGATTCTTCTCTTGTTTTATGGTACAACTGTATACAGGAGATGGATTTTCTATTTCTGGAGGAAGGAAAAGGGCTATGGAGAGGCTCGTATTTTACCGATCTGGTGACCGGACGGTGGGATGACTTCCGCGGGTGGTGTGGTGCCGGGGGGAAGAGTAAGAACTACCCAAAAAAAAAAAAAAAAACACAACTCTCAAATACTTCGCCGGACGGCGATTTCTCCCATGCCGGAGAAAACTAAGCACATGCAACAACGAACTTGAAGTCTTGTAATGGCTAAATATTCTGCCGGCAGAAAACAAGCAAAAAACCTTACCACACTTGTTTGAGAGCATCATTAATTTATGCTGCTTTATTTATTGCCGATTGAATAAGCATATAGAGAGATTACCCCATCTCCCCGTGCACATGCTTGGCTTTTATGGCACTGGCACCACCCCACAATCAAAATCAAAACAAATTTTCACCCTCTAGTTATCTACAACATTGGATCACGAGAATCTGAGCCCTTTTAAACTCTCTCCCCACTGCCATTTGTGGGTTTTGGTGAGATAGAAACACAGAATAGACATCACCATGTGACACACCAGTAGTCAAACTGAAAAAGTCACACATAACATCCAAGAATACAAAGCCAAAACTCCCTTCTCAAGACACAGATCAGTAACCCTCCTAAGTTGTGTAATCAAACCACCTACCCACCTCGCCAAACATCTAACTTTTAATACATAAACCAGAAAGGCAGCAACCAGATGAGTATATAGGTCCGAAACAAATAGATCAGTGCACTAACCTCATTAGAAAATGTTTAGGCAATCAGCATAAGTGGTTGCCTCATGCCTGTCCACAAATGTCAGTCTGGATAAGGAAGTTATGTTGTAAGATTGAAGTATGCAACTTTCAGAACACAAAAATCCCACTACCCCTGGCTATACTTCTGTGGTCAACAACAGATCTTCATGGAAGAAAACTGAAACGTACTTCATTCTGTTATAGTTGAGGAACTCCGGGAACTGGACAACATTGAACCAGAAGAGACTATCAAGTATCGGATAGTCTCCAAGATTCAATCATATTCATACCCTATGATAACTATAAACGTTTCTAGAAATTGTGTTCAATATCATCGCATCCTAGATTGCTACTATTGAGAATCACAAGTGTAAGATAAATGTAGTCTTGAAATCCTCACAGTTGCTCAGATAACAAGTCCCATGCTTTTTGAAGTCCATTCGGTGCGCAGTCGAGTCTTTCTTTGTGCATCCATCGAGCAAAACATAAGCAAGACCCTCTGGATCAGCATCTACCAAACATTTAGAAGGAATTCCAAGCCATGGAACTCGTTTCAATTTACGTAGTCAAATTCAGGTATGGCTCAAGTTTTCACAGGAGCAAAATTTCAAAGCTTGCTTCTTGTACTCATACGCTCTTCATGAAAGTTTCAATCTTTTCAGCAGCACGAAGCATACCGTTGAGCCTGACTTCCTCCAGCAAGACATTGCAGGTCTGATACCTAGGCTTTATATCTTTACTTATCATCTCTTCAAACAGTTGGTAAGCCCACTCGCATCTGTTCACTCTACAAAGCCCGTGAATCAAGAGCTTGTAGGCCGAGAGATCAAGTCCAAGATGATGCTTCCTCACCATATCATCCAACAATTGACTCAACAAGCTATCCACCATCCCACTTCTCAAGCAAGATTTCAGCAATGGATAGTAAGTATGAACATCAGGCTTACAAAGCACTGAACCTTCCAACTCCCTTAGGAGACGCAAAGCCCTTGATTGCTGACCATGTTGACAAAACATCGCTATCATCGAGTTATAAGTGGAAGTATTTGGCTGCACATTGATACTGGCCATCTCTACCTCAAAAACATGAACAGCTTCCTCTACTCTTCCAGCTTTTCCAAGCGTATGGATAAATGCATTATAAAACAGCGTATCGGGTTTACAACCAGCTGCCTTCATCCTCTCTGATATCCCTACAGCCTCATCAAACTTCTCCGACTTAGTTAACTGAACCAAGATAGTAGTGTAAGTAACTACATTAGGTGGACATCCTTCAGCTTCCATCTCATCAAGCACACCATAAACCTCGACAAATTTCCCTTTCTGGGAGTAGAATTGCACAATGGTGGAGTAACTTATCACACAAGGTTTAAACCCACACCCCTTCATCTCTTGGAGAGTCCAGTAAGCCTCATCAACACGATTGATCTTGCACCAGCCATGGATGAAGATGTTGAAAGTATTAGCATCTGGGGAAATGTACGACTTGAGCTGCAAGAAAATCTCGCGAGCCTTCTCTACTCTTCGCTCTTTGGATAGAGTGTCGAGCAACAAGTTCATTGACTCGGTGTTCTTCTTGAGGTTGAAGGTTTCGAGTTTATCAAATAACCGAACTGAATCTTCCCACTGGGCTGCACCGACAAACCTTCTCATAGCTTTCCCTATTGTATTGAGTGTGACGAGATTACTCTCTCGCATTTTGGCTAAGATGGCGTTCATTTCCTCCATCTGTCTCATTTTCCCCAATATGTCCACCATTAAATCGTATGACTCATGGGTATGCTCATAATCCGAACTTGACTCAGCCCATTTGAAAACAGCGAGTGCAGACTTCCAATCGTCCTTAAACCGAGAAAGCAACTTGGCAACAAGGTCATGAGATACCTGAATGGTCTTACATCCATCATCCCCCATAATTGATTGAAGAATTTCATCGTGGTCACACCCAACAGAGAATTTGGCTATCAGGTAGTTAAGATCAGAAGGGTTGGCTGACCCATCATCTCGCTCTTGTTGATGAAATGCAACACTAGTAAACCGCGAAGGTCCATTACCAAATGCAGATAGGCCACAGTAATTCAACTGACGGATAAGGATTTGGGACTGTCTCGGAAACTTCCTAAGGAGCAACATGAAAGCAGTAGGAAACCGGCCGCTGAATCAATCTTGCCAGGAAGTTAGGTCATAATCAGAATCTATGAAAACCCAACCAGAGAGAACAGAACCTCGAAGCTGATACAGATTTTGAGCAATAAGGGACTGTAGTACGAGTTCAATGGAACCACGCCGAGTAGAGAAGCTAAATTACTTGCAGGAAAGAATCATAACCAACATTTGTTGTTCCCTCATTAATTTCAGGTATTCATTCCGGAATAGGAATCAAGTTCGAGAGAAATGGAGAAAGAGTTAAAAGTACCAACCAAACGAATTGAGTGCTGCGGAACAGTGAGGAGCTGAAGCAACTGGCCCTGGAAGACGACGGCAGAGAGCGGATTCCGCTTTGTGGGGAGGGAGAAAGTCGGCGGCTAGACTAGAGGGTGAGAAAACGGGAGTGGAACCTGGCGCATGGCTGGGCCTTCTGCTTTGTTTGTTCACGTAATGGGCTGGGCTAATTAGTATTACTTTGGACTCGTGGGCCTCATCTTTCTTCGAAGTTCAGGTGGTGGAGCGCTTATTGGACACATGACGCACAACCTGACTCTTGTATTGGGCTGTAGGCACCACGATGAAGATAATTGGAATTCATAGCTTCGATCGAAAGTCAACATGTGGGGATGCCTTGATTATGTATCCTTAGTGATTTAATTTTTATCGTGTTCTTTTGCTCTGGGCATATTTTGTTAAATTTGCAGGGTTTGCTGCATTGCCGTCACTTGACAGCCATAGGGGCTTGATCCTTGATTTCCGCCCTTTAAAGGGTGGAAATTAAGTTAAGTACTAGCCTTTGCCGAATATGAATTAAGGAGCTGTTCATATCGTGGCAAGAATGCTCTCTTATCGTTGGTCGTAGAAATGACAATTTGAACCCGCCCCGCCGGGTAATACCCGACCTGACCCGCGATGGGGCGGGTATTACTCGACCCGCATTAGCGTGGGGCGTGGCATGGGTATCAACTTCCGACCCGCTCTGCCCCGCCCCGCTCCGTTCTATGTCAATTTTTTACCCTATCCATTCATATATCTCCTATTTTGACTTTTATTCAACTATTTAGATTTGATCTTTCAACTAAATAGACTCAATTACTTATAATATTATCACTATTATTCATTCACCAAGTATTTTCCCCTTCGTTTTATCATAAAAAGTAAAATTGTGCGTGTATTTTTCTCAAAAAGCATGTAAGAGTGGGTCGACCCGACCCGCCCCGTTCCCGCGCGAGTATTACCCACCCCGATCCGTACTAGTGTGGGGCGGAGCATGAGTATTGAGGTACTCGCATGTTGACAACAGCCACAGTAGGGTTCTCGCATTTTATTAATATCTATCAGATGTACTAGTTATCACCATTGTTAATTGTTAGCGACCAAGACTATGGAAATGAAGAATGATGTCCATATTTTTTCGTTATTACTATTGTTAATGGTTAGCGATCAAGTCTTCAGAGAAATGTAAATCTAGAATTGACATCACTTTTCCAGAGTAGTATATAATGAGAAAGGATAGGTGAATAAAAGTCGCGAAATATTGGTTCAGTTGAGGAGACTATAATAACAAAATTTTACTTGGCTAAATTCCAGATTTTTTATCTAAATCATGGGTCGACTCATTTGTTTTTCATTTCAACATGTTGACAACGAAAACAAGCTCACGTCTGATTAGCCAGTTGGTGAGAGAATTGCTCCACCAAGGCCATGATCGATGGCTAGTTCGAAAGGTTCCACATGTAATGTAAGACAACGAAAACATTTTTACACGTTGAGCAGAAACATTTTTACTTGTGATTTTTCCCACCCGGAGATGAAACCAGTGTCCAGAAACGTCGAATAAGTGATATCCTTGTAAGCAAATTATACAACAGTTCAGGTTTCCGGGCCAAGATTGAAAACCATTATCAAAGTTGCGTTATCCACTTATCCTTCCTGCCCATACACTGCCGTTTCAGAAACAGACAGACAACGGGCAACGTCGAGAAGACTATCCACAAATTCACCTCTGCCGAGGTAGGTATTTTGGCTGAAACAGACTGTCCATTTCAGAAGACGAGCATTCGCATCACAGTTGAGTAATACATAAGCCAAGACGTCACTAAAGGACAACACGACTCACGACTAGGCAGCAAATGAGCCGAGTCGAGTTTTACTCCAGCTTGAGCTCGGCTCGTTAATAAATGAGTCGAGCTCGAACTCAGCTCATTTATTAACGAGCCGAGTCGAGTTCGAGCTAGCTTGTTTATTAAAATTTTAACTTTTATTTGATACTTCATTTTGTATATCATAATACATATGATTTATTTTGTTAGCTAATCTCATATTATACTTTGTTGGTATTATATATCACTTAGTTAATAAATTTTAACTACTTCAAATCATGTTATTTCATAATATCGAAGCAATTTATGATACATAATTTCTTTTTAAAGTAGAAAATAAGATATATTGCTCACAAACTCAACGTGTTAAACTTTATATATGGTGAGATATATAATTTAACAATCATATGAATTAAAATCATAAGATATAGATTGATTCATCCATAAGTTGGTAATCGAGTTGGCTCTCTAGCCACATGTTAAGACATATCATGAGCTCTAAACGAGCCAGCTCACGAGTTTAGCTCAACAAACCCCCGAGTCGAGCTAGCTCGCGAGCTTCACGAGCTGACAAAGGTGAGCTCGTGTTCGGCTCGTTTATTAACGAGTCGAGTTTCGAACGAACTTTTCTCGAGTCGAACGCCGAGCCGCTCGCGAGCATCTCGGCTCATTTGCAGCCCTACTCACGACCAAATACACCACAATAAACCAAGCAATAAAACCAGGAAACTTGAAAAGGGCAGTGGGGAGGGCAAATAAGGCAATTAGCTTGATCAACACAACTTTTTATCTGAAATATGACCGTGAACTTTTTTTTACTTGAAAGCTTCAGAACATCCAAGTCAAAACTCAGAATGCAACTAATAAATCTCCTTATTTCATAGGCAAAAGGGTTCCTCCGAAACAGCTATAAATGATATGATACCCACTGTATCTCTAAAACTTTGGGGAAAAGAAAACCACGTCAACAAACAAACCGCCACCCACTCATCAACATGGGAAGGGGGGAAATACTCAACACAAAGAAACACATCCCTTGCTTTCCAATCCTTCCCGACTCTCTGATCTCCCCATCTACAGGGTCTTGGCCATGTGGCAGATCAAGTCAACAACACGGGTGCTGCAAAGTTTAGATATCATGGAATCAGAACACAAGTCGCCCATCACAACATTCAAGAAAATAATCAGCCAATTTGCTTCATTTCGTACCTGTAGCCCCACTCGTTGTCATACCAAGACACGAGCTTGACGAAGTTATCGTTCAATGCAATTCCAGCCTTGGCATCGAAGATGCTCGACCTGCTGTCACCGAGGAAATCAGCGGACACAACATCCTCATCGACGTATCCCAAGATACCCTTAAGACTACCCTCAGACTCCTCCCTGTATTACGTTACATAACCAACATCCAACATTAGTGATAATGGAGTCGGGTTATAGCACAAGCTGCCAACTTAAAGGATGGGCTAGTCAGGAAGCTTTACTTGATGGCAGCCTTGATTTGCTCATATGTAGCTGACTTGGCAATCTTGACGGTCAAGTCGACCACTGAGACATCAGCAGTTGGGACACGGAAGGCCATACCCGTCAACTTTCCGTTGAGTTCTGGAAGAACCTTGCCAACAGCCTGATGAACACCAATTATTAATACAACACACAATCACATTGCTTTAAAACGATACATATTATGAACTCATGAAATGTATAGACAGACACCTTGGCAGCTCCAGTGCCACTTGGGATGATGTTGAAGGATGCGGCTCTTCCACCCCTCCAGTCCTTGTTTGATGGTCCATCAACAGTCTTCTGAGTGGCTGAAATATTGCAAAACACATTAGCAAACCACTCAGACTAAGGCAAATCTGATTTCAGGTTAAGGCGCACACAGAGAGGAGTGATTCAAAAGCTTACCAGTGATGGCATGGACAGTGGTCATGAGACCCTCAACGATTCCGAACCTGTCGTTGATAACCTGTCACATAACACATGAACCAACATCAGCAAAACATTAACTCAACAACAATCCTTAACTAGAAAACACACTCGATGACTGCAAGATGTACCTTGGCCAAGGGGGCAAGGCAGTTGGTGGTGCAGCTAGCATTGGAGACAATGTTAAGCTCCGGCTTGTATTCCTTCTCGTTGACACCAACAACAAACATGGGTGCATCTTTGCTTGGGGCAGAGATGACAACCTTTTTAGCACCACCCTGAACAAAGAGAATCATCGAAAAATTAGTAAGACACGCCAAAGAGAACAACAATTTAATCCAGATCCAAACCATGATATCAGTTTACCACCCAATGACTGGACAACAAACGCAGCTTGAAAGAAACTAGTCAAATTGACATGGACGACCGAAGTCCCAGGTCAAGTCAAAGCTAGTCAACACTGATCATAATTGTACATAAAGATCCCGCCGTCCAAAACAGATCTTCAATTCTAAGAAAGCTACTACCACACTCGACAAAACTTAAATGCAGAACAATCAAAGCAAAAAAGAAAAGGAGAAATCGAGCTACAAACAAACCTTCAAGTGAGCAGCAGCTTTGTCCTTGTCAGTGAAGACACCGGTGGACTCAACAACGAAGTCAACACCAACGGAGCCCCATTGGATCTCCTCTGGGTTCCTGCAAATCCACAATTATACCAACAATTAAGCCACTACCAACTCTCCAAAATCACTGATCAAAAACTCACAAACAACCACCAAACCAGAGATCACACAGGTTCTCTTCCTCTACCTGAGACCGAAAACCTTAACTTCCTTGTCGCCGAAAAGAAGGGTAGACTCGTCCTTCACCTTGACATCAGAGTGCTTCCAGTGACCATGGACGGTATCGTACTTGAACATGTAGGTCTGAAATCATCGCACAAAACAGAATCAGAATGCCCAAGTCAACAGATCTATCCACTTTAAGTCAAACTTGGGGATCAAAAGAGAGATTCATTCCATACCATGTAATCAGTAGGGATGAACGGATCGTTCACAGCAACGAGCTCAACATCGTCCCTCTGGAGAGCAACCCTAGCAACCAAACGACCAATACGGCCGAACCCTGCAAACAAACCACCATCGCAAAAGCCAGATCCAGATCAGTAATCAACAAAACAACACAACCCCAGAACGGAAAATCCAAGGCAAGAACTGAGAGCAGATCGATCACGTACCGTTGATTCCGATCTTAATCTTTCCACCAGCTGAAACCGTCAAAACAAGCAGCAAAATGGAAACCGATCAGAATCCGGAAGATCATGAGAAACAAAAGGCGTATAACAGGGAAAACGGAGATTCGGCAGCGGCTTACCCATTGGAAAAGCGAGAGAAGAGGAGGAGAACTTTGACGGAGATAACGAAGGAGAAGGGTCTAGAGAGGACAAATCAATGGAGGTTTTTTTGCGAGTGTTTGAGAGACAGTGGAGACTGGGCGGAGCGGTGGGTGATATATAAAGAGAAAAATCAAAAAAGGGTTTAAGCAAAAAAGATGGAGCGAGAGCCACGTGAGAGAGAGGGTTTCTTCTTTTCCTTTTTTATTTTCTTTTTTGCCTTGGAGAAGAAGAAGGGTTTTCTTTTCTAATTAATTAGGGCTAGATCGTTGTATTAGCCGCTGATTAGTGATTACATTTACAGCGGGGATGAAGTTTCAAACCCACGCGCGGGGTTTCCTTCTTGTACAACGCGCAATGAGCTAAGGGCAATTGAAGATTCCTCTTACTAATATGAATTTCTACTAATTGTGGGTCATTTGATTTATGAATTTGAAAAATGAGAGTTTTGAAAAAAATTTAATTTTGAAAAATTATGGATATGATGACTTTGTAGTATTATAGATTTGAATAAATATATTGTTTATTTGTTGAATTTGATTGTAGATTTTACTTGATTAAATTTGTGAATATGTAACACAAATTACCTTGTTACCTTATCTAATTATATTCTACTATAATCCAGATTTTTAATAAAAAAATTCTATACATACAAAAAAAATTTACCCTTTATCATTACTTTGTAAACTATTAATTCAACTACCACTACTTTCTGAACTAATAATTCAACTAAAAATATAAGAATGTATCACAATTTGGTACTATAATTTATTCTAACTCTCATGTGACTGACTCCCATGTATCACAACTCAACTACAAATATAAAAAAAAAAAAAAAAAGAAATTGGCATGTTAGCAGAATGTGTAATTAATATTAGTTTGTGGGATATTAATGATAGTTCATTTTGGGTTACAAATATTCTTATCGATATTTCTAGTAAATATGAATATGGTTAATAGCTTATTTTAGCCCGAGTTATACCCAACTTTTCTACTTTGGTCCGTGGTTTCTGAAATTTCCCCTGGCTCGAACTATGTACTATACTTTCTTGCTTGGCCCAACGCGAGTTTTGAGCGTCAAATTGGATGGTCAACTTCATTGATCGTTAATCAAGCGTCAGGTCACTTGCCACGTCAACCAACCTGAACTAAAAATTTTAATTTTGATTTTTTATTTTTGAATTTCTGTAATTATTTTCATTATCCAAATTTTTGAATTATTTTTTATTAATTATTATTGTTATTAGAAAATGAAACGAATTACATAAATTCAAAATCCTATTTTTGTGTATTCGTTGACTTTGCAAGTGACTGGCGCTTGACTAACGGTCAAAACTGGCGCTGGGCCAAACAAGGAAGTATGGTGCATAGTTCAGGTCAGGAGAGCAATTTCAGAAACCACGAACCAAAGTAGAAAGTTTGAATATAGCTCGGGCCAAAATAAGGTATTAACCCATATGAATATTAGTTTAAGTTATATGAATATTAGTCTCTAAAAATCCATCAAAAGTGTCGAAAAAGTATTCAGAAGTGTCGAATCAATATTAAAAAAATAACAAGTAATAAAATAAAATGGTAAACATGGCAAAAATGAAATATATAGGGAACTTAAATAGGTGGAACTTGTTAGTCCATGGAGTCCACGAATTTTGGACCCAAAAAATCCATGGATCCCACAAATTTAATCCTACCAATCCCATAAGACAAATAATGAACCTTTGTTCCAAGTTCATGATGGATTAGCAAATCCCATAGGGAACAATCCCTTAAAGGTCGTTTGCTTGTAGGATTTTGATGAGAAATTTTGCCTCAAAATCCCACAAATGATGGATTTTGTCTTAAATCCATGTTTGTTGACAAAAATGAGTTTGACCTATATCCGTGGGGCCCATAAATATGGGATTATTTTTGGCTCAAAATACGTGGACCCCATGGATTATAAAATCCCACCTTAGACTATCTCCAACAACAAGGCTAAAATGCCAAATTTTGGAAAAAAGTCCCTCCAACAACAATGCTAAAATGCTTAAAAGCCAAAAAATGGGAATTTTGTGGCTAAATTTGGCACACAAATGGACAAGAAATGGGAAAAATCCCAAACCCCACTTCCTCTCCTCGGTGGACGTGCCATTCAATTAAAACACCCATGAACACATGTAAACCCCCCTCTAAACCCATAATTAAAACAAAATCAATCAAATTAAACCTAGTTTTAATAATTGACCTGCATTAATACGTTAATGTTTGCATCTCCAGTCTTATTCCACCAATTATTGTATTTTTGTCACTAATGACGTCATATTTAATCATGTATATTTTTGTCAAAATTAAAAAAAATTACATCAAAATGTTCGTTCTAATTAATTATAACTACCTGCATACAAATAATCTACAAACTATCTAATTAAAATGATGAAATCTACACTAATCTAGATTACCATAAAATAGAAGGTTTGGCATTTTAGCATTCCTTGTTGGAACAAAACCCACTTTTGGGGTGCCAAAATGCCAAAACCCTTTAGCATTCTAGCATTTTCCCAATTTGTTGTTGGAGATGGTCTTATGAGCTAGAATTTTGGGAGAAGCCAAAATCCATAGACCCCACTAGTGATGAAATGACCAAAGTATCCTTAACTAAAAATAAAAATACTTTATTAATGACATGAATAAGGATGTGATGATAAATTCATCATGTAACCCATAAAATCCATTATATTATAATCCATTTTGAAAACCAACAAGCAAACATGCAATTTCTAAAATTCAACACAAATCCAAAATAACAAAATCCAACATAATCCTTTACTCTCAAAATCCAAGGTTTTACCCAAATCCCTCATTTTATAAAATCCAACAAGCAAATGACCCCTTAATGTTTTTGTTCATAGAAATAATTGATAGGATCATTTCGTTTGGATGCGTCATTTTGATTCTATGGTGTTTTGAATCAAAATGTTGTAATATTTTGGTATGTGGCATTCATGTGAAATGTGGTAATGAGTCTAATTGTCTTATTTGGATAGAACTTTCATATGTTGTGGTATTTCATCACTTAAATAAGATAGTGTTACGTGATCTAGTCATCTTAACTATGAGCCTTGTTCTAGGCTTGGGTATCTTTATTATTTTAGTAGTTTTATTAATTAGTTTGTATTTCATATTTTTGGGATATTATATTTTTTAATTGTCTTGGTAGGATTGTGATTGCTTTTTAGTACTTGTTTAGAATTTGGTTATTGTTTCCTCATGGGAGAAGTATTCATGATTTAGGTAGAAGAAAGGAGATGTTCTATGCCTATAAAATGTACTTGTCCATTCGTTTATAATATGTGACAATTGGAATCCAATAGTAGTTGTGGTTTATCCTTCTTTCATGTGTATGAATTATCAGAAGTTTGTTAGTGAAAAAAATATATATTAAAAGAGCTTGAACTATTCATGATATGCTCGAATAAATTGGCTTAGATAATCCATGAGCAAAACTAACAGAACGGTAAACATATTAAGCTTAATAGTCTATATCTTGTGATCGAAGGCATTGAACCCTTCTAAATGTGGGCTTGTGCTAAATAAATGCCGAATAAATAATCTAATAATGATCCTTAAAAGAAAATCTAATAATGAACAAAATTTGGAAGCTGTATACTCTTGTACCAAATCGTGACTTTCTTTCCAAGGAATAATAATAAATAGGGTTGGATTATGAGTTGGAAGGTGGGAGTTAATCGCTAGCAGTTATTCCATGGGCTTGAAATGGTTGGTTGGACGGCTCAATTTGGGTCAAAGCAAAATCGGCAGGCATTAGGATTTAGGATGTTGTGTTAAATCTAATGGCCTTAATTACCACCCTCGTTCAATGATAATTTTATTGTTGTGAATTTAATGGATGTGACGTGATTGCAAGATTTTTGATCCAATAATGTTGGTGTCTCAACATATTAGTATGATCTATCTAGCACTAGATTATGGGCCGACGTCTTGGCCGGGAGAGTTTAATTCTCATGTTGTCAGGTATAAGTGTAGGTGTATATTTTTGTTATGGTTCTTGTTGTTGGGATTTGAAATAACTATTTAGTTTGGTAAGTTCTCCATTATTAATATAGGAAAGTATTTGATGTATTTGACTAACGAAGTTTTAAAAATGACGAACAATGTCCAACTACACTAACATAAATACATATTTTCAAACGAAGTCGTATTGATATAAAAACGTCTAAGAAGAACAATGTTAATAGTGCTAGAATGCTAGAGTGTCAAACTTTATATTTTCCATGATAATGTAGTTTGGTGTAGATCTCATAATTGTAATTAGGTAGTTAGTACATTATTTTATATGTGTAGTAATAATTAAATAAGACAAACATTTTGATGCATTTTTTTAATTTCGACATAAAAATTTTGACGTTGAATATGGCTAATCAATGACATAAACATAGAGTTTGTTCTAGTTGATTATTCATTAGCAGAAATAACAAAACTACAATTGTATAGGCCGATTACTTGACTTCTTGCTAGGCAACTAATCCTAACACTAGCTAGCAAACCGTAACTGATAAACGATTATTTGTACATGATATTTCCAACTAATCTTGAATCGAGTTGGTTCTCGTATTTTAAGCTGATTTCACGCTAGGTTGTGCTTTTATATCATATTTCAGGACCTGGAGCGGAAAGGAAGGCTTGGAGGCGAGTTTCGGGTCAAAAGCACCAAAGAAATGGAAGGAGGAGTGCAAGGGCCAAAACTCCTGGTCTGGTCATCAAAAACCCGGCCGGGGAAATGGCGTGGAGGCTGGGGAATCGATCCAGAGATTTTACCCGGTCTTGGACCCCAGTTCCCCGACCGGGTAATTGCAGAGGTAGATCGGGTTTTAACCCAACAAGCTGCGCACTGTTTCCCTATTACCCGACCGGTTTGCCTTAAACCCGACCGAGTTTTGGGCAGAAGAGCTGTTAGATGCGAATTATGGGTTCTTTGAGCAATCAATTAAGTTTTGGAGAAAAAGAGTGAAACCTAGAGAGAGAAAGTGACGAACTAAACATGCAAAGTGACCTAGATCGAGTTATGAAGCCATTAGAGCTCCATTGAAGCTTGGAGAAGTGTCGACTGACAACCAGAAGCCGATTTTCATCCTCCACAGAATGATTTCCGCATCTGAAGCTGATTTATCTTTTCTCTCTATGGAGTAAACTCTCTCTCACCTGGATATGAAGAACCCTAGATTTGTATGATATGTTTGGTTGTATGAACCCAAGTACATGATCTTTTGACAT